GCCCGTATCCCCATCGAAGATAGAGCTGTTGAAGGACGGGCTGCAGTAGTCGCTGGGTTTTTTTAGACACTTGGTGCGGCAGGCAGTGAAGGAAGGCATGTTCAAACGCCGTACAACGTTCATCAAGCCTGCGCTGACACCCGAAAATAAGCTACAGCTTGTGGAGCATGCGCTGTCATTTATCGATGACACGACGCTTGCATTCGAACCTATGCACAACATGGTCCATGTTGATGAGAAATGGTTCTATGCAGACCGTAACAAGCGTTCTTACCTGGTGTTTGACGGTGAGGAGCCCCCTCCCCGAGTCTGGAAGAGCAATAGGTTACTACCTCCGCTCGGAAAAAGATAACCATTTCAAATTATATTACAGCCTACCCAACAAAATTCCCTCTCTAAGCCGATCCTTTTTTGGATTACGAATCTCCCGCGCTTTCCCGACCAGACTGGCTCCCGCTCCCAGCTTTCATTTTGAAAGCTGGCGGGGGAGATCACAGACAGTGAGCGCCAGGCCGTCTGGGAGACCTTGCTGCTTCGCAGCGTGGGAGAAGTGGTCAAACATGGAGAGATCGTTCGGGTTGCAGCGTACTTCCGTGTGGGCCGCCAAGTTGTCGAACGAATTTGGAGGCGTGGAATCAATTCGATGGGAGATCGAGTAGCAGCCGTGGTCAAGTCAAAGGAAGAGCGCATGTGGTAGGAAGAAGGTGGATCGAGCTGAGCTGTGCGAGAGAATCGCTGCAGTTCCTGTCAATGAGCGCGAAAACCAGCGTCTGCTTCAGCGCGCGTCGAACATGAGCTACTACCTGGTTCAGCAGCTGATCAAGGAAGGCTACATACGGCGTGCGCTCAGACAGACCCGTCCACTACTTACACCCACGCACAAGTTTGCGCGCCTCCGGCACAAGGACAAGCAAGTACGAGCTGGCACTCTCCCTAAGTCACTGCCTTGTGACGCTATCTCACTCGCCAATGCTAACGCGTACATGCTGCTTCTTGCAGCGAGCAGCCCCCCACCGCCTACCGCTAAAGTTCCAGAAGCCCCACTGAGCGCCCCTTCAGAATGTGGCGATGCTTAGATCCGTTTTTGTATCTGTAGTTGCACGGCGGAGCATGAACGCCTGTGCCTTGTTAGTTTCTCACTGTCAGCTCTCGGTCATAAAGCTAGCTAGCCTGCCTCTCACAAATTAATAAACACTCAAATGAACGAGGCGGAGCGCTGCGCAAAAAAAAACAAATGGTTATCTTTTTCCGAACGGAGGTAGTAATTCCTAAGACGATGTTCCTGGCTGCATCATTACGACCTCGGTAAGTCTATATTTTATTTTTGAAAAATATTAACCCTTTATATTAAATACAGATACGACCCGCATCGAAAACGGCAATGGGATGGCAATGTTGGTATTTTGTCCTTCACGGAAAAGTACGAAGCCCAACGACGCAGTTGGAACAGAGCCAAAGGGGCCGTTTGCACGCGCAATATCGAAACTGTCAATCGCAATGTGTACAGGGAGTATTTGATTAACAAAGTATTTCCAGCTATCAAGGCGCAGTGGCGAAGAAACGATCGTCACTAAGTGATTCTTGTGGAGCAGGATATGCAAAACCCCACGTGTCCCCATGAGGATGAGTAAATCGTCAAAACGGGGCAAGAAGGAGGACGGAACATTCGACGCTTCTGTCAAGCGCCCAATTCGCTCGACCTCAACACCCTCGACCTGGGCGTCTTCAACTCAATGCAGACTCTCAAGTACTATATCCCCAGGAAGGGCATCGACGCTCTAATCGATTCAGTACCCACTGTGTATCGTCAGTTGAAACCTGATACCGTGAACGATATCTTCCTCTCCTTACAGGCATGCATGCTGATGATCTTGCAGGATGGGGGAGGAAATTTGTACAAGCTTCCGCATTAAGGAAAGACCAAACTTCGAAGAGCCAAGCGTCTTCCTCTTCTCCCAATCATGGCTATCCATTTTGTGTTAGACAAGAGGTCTGACTTCTTCTGCGCAAATTGCGATTTGCTGGCGTTGTACTCCAGCTGAATATAGGGAGGCGAAGTAAGATTTCAGAAAATGCTAGACCTTATGTCTAACGCTAATACCTGTGTGTCCCACATTGTCGTACAAATTTGGGGGAATGATTCTTAGACGGAAGTAGTCAGACATTTGTCAAACCAACAATTCTGCTATGTATGATGTTTGGTAGGTGGGTACAAATGTAAGCAGTTTGTAGCTCCTTGGTTCTCATTGATACGCACTGCTAACTACTTGTTGTTTTTGCTTTCTTCCTCAACAGTTTTCCTACTGTCGCCCAGCTCAGCTGTCCGTGGCGTCGCTTTCGTGAGTGTTCGGTGATGTCGTCTACAGCGACGCTGCTTGCGCACTTAATGAAGACATCGGTTGCAGCATCGATGGCAGTGCTACAAGGAAACAGCTCTTTAGATGTTGCATCTTTCTCAATCTTGAGCATCACAAACCGAAGCTGGCTAAGACGCTTCTGCATCTTCCTGTTGGGCATATCACGACCATCAAGACGGCGAAGCGGTGGTATCTGCTTCGACTTGTTACCACACATCCACAGCACCCACACGTGACGTACGGAGCAATCAGGGATGGTAAAATCTGCGGGTACACGCCGAAACTTTCCACTCCAGTAGTGGCAAAGCTGACCCTCGTTGCCTTCAGTGGCAGCGTCGACAACAGATTCTTGTCTGCTGGATAGCTTCTCGACAAGCTCGCCAACGCCACTATCATGAAGACACGCTCTTATAGCATCATGAAGACCGTCGTAAGTAACCGTTCAAGCACCTATAGCTCGCTTCTCGAGCTCGAATATAATATCTTGAACAGTATCAAGCCGGGTAGCTTCAGCTTTTGACACCGATTCCAGCAAACCGTCCTTTAGACCCTTCATTTCACAGAGTATAGCCACGTGAGGTGGTACCCCAGTCGGTCGTATACGCGCCACAGTGCAACCATCACCCGTTCTAATTCTGGTTGTGAGATTTAATGGAGCTGCTGCAACGTGCACTCTGATATGTCACCGAGGCCATCGAGGAAGGGCTTGGGCACGAGATGCGGCTTGTTGCGGATAATCCAAGCGAGGAAGCGGCAGTATGAGTTCTGGTAGGTGGCCCTCGAACGCGCGGTGACTGTGTTTTCACGAATATCACGAACTGTTTTCTCTAGCTTCTCCCAATCATGGCTATCCATTTTGTGTTAGACAAGAGGTCTGACTTCTTCTGCGCAAATTGCGATTTGCTGGCGTTGTACTCCAGCTGAATATAGGGAGGCGAAGTAAGATTTCAGAAAATGTTAGACCTTATGTCTAACGCTAATACCTGTGTGTCCCACATTGTCGTACAAATTTGGGGGAATGATTCTTAGACGGAAGTAGTCAGACATTTGTCAAACCAACAATTCTGCTATGTATGATGTTTGGTAGGTGGGTACAAATGTAAGCAGTTTGTAGCTCCTTGGTTCTCATTGATACGCACTGCTAACTACTTGTTGTTTTTGCTTTCTTCCTCAACAGTTTTCCTACTGTCGCCCAGCTCAGCTGTCCGTGGCGTCGCTTTCGTGAGTGTTCGGTGATGTCGTCTACAGCGACGCTGCTTGCGCACTTAATGAAGACATCGGTTGCAGCATCGATGGCAGTGCTACAAGGAAACAGCTCTTTAGATGTTGCATCTTTCTCAATCTTGAGCATCACAAACCGAAGCTGGCTAAGACGCTTCTGCATCTTCCTGTTGGGCATATCACGACCATCAAGACGGCGAAGCGGTGGTATCTGCTTCGACTTGTTACCACACATCCACAGCACCCACACGTGACGTACGGAGCAATCAGGGATGGTAAAATCTGCGGGTACACGCCGAAACTTTCCACTCCAGTAGTGGCAAAGCTGACCCTCGTTGCCTTCAGTGGCAGCGTCGACAACAGATTCTTGTCTGTTGGATAGCTTCTCGACAAGCTCGCCAACGCCACTATCATGAAGACACGCTCTTATAGCATCATGAAGACCGTCGTAAGTAACCGTTCCAGCACCTATAGCTCGCTTCTCGAGCTCGGATATAATATCTTGAACAGTATCAAGCCGGGTAGCTTCAACTTTTGACACCGATTCCAGCAAACCGTCCTTTAGACCCTTCATTTCACAGAGTATAGCCACGTGAGGTGGTACCCCAGTCGGTCGTATACGCGCCGCAGCGCAACCATCACCCGTTCTAATTCTGGTTGTGAGATTTAATAGCAGTTCTTCGTCTTGGAAAAGCGGCGTCTCAAATAAACGGTGCTGTGGAGAAAGCGTAGCCTTCAGGAATGAGGAATGATAGACCAGCGAAGCCAGACAAAACTCTGCAATATACTCGAGCCTATTGGGTAGGCCAGGGAACATCAACTTCATCCCGTTTTCGACGCTCTCATCTCGTGAATCAAAATGTGGTGCTAGCGTCGAGAACTGGTAACTTTCGGTAGGCAATCCAGCCGCTGTACGACCGACATGCATGTCGCCAGCAGCTTCATATCGGAGGTAGGTGTTTTGAACACCTCCAAGCGACCAGCCGGCTCGCAAATGAACCGCCGTTGATGAAGGACAAGCCGTTGACCCTGACGAACAAAACGTCGCTGATCCTTTCCGCATAGAGTGAGTCCCCAGCTCAGTAGCGACAATCCCTTGGCGCTGCAATTCCGTCGCGACACTCTCTTGCGCCAGTAGACGCAGCCAGCACTTCCGAAATCGCTCGTATTGGTTACTGCCAGGAAAAAGGAGATCGCCGTCGCCAAAATTAGAAACCGCCCAATATACACCTTGTGCCACAATTGGACAAATACTTGGTTGTAGCGGGTTCGCGTAGATATGGCGCGGGTCACGCGGTCGGTCCCCTCCTTGATCATTCTTCATATGCGCGAAGTAAATCTGCAGTGCATCACCCCTCCATTCCATGTGTGAATGGCGAATGCCAAAAGCATTAGACGACCGACACATTAGGTTCCACGCAATCACCATGTACGCGTGAGCAAATGCCATCTCCTTCCCGAGTGAGAGAGCATCTCTTTGCACAAGAAAGAGTACAGATCAAACATGAGTGGGTCCTTACCAGTCTTGACAGAGCTCTCGCCGTTCGCTGCGTCCTTGGCAAGTTTATGCTTGAGTCCTTTAAAGTAGTTTGTCAGCTCGGAGTCTAAATTCTTGGTCATGGTACGGCCGTAGTCACGAAACAAGTTAAACAACCCCGCCCTGTGAGTGTTTAGGGCAGAGTAGCTTAGAGCACAGCCATCCTTTCGCTCGAGCGTCACAAGCCATGTGACAAAATCAGCTGCATCTAAGGCCTCAAACTCTAGCGGGATGACAGTGCGTCTTTGCGTAACGAGATCTTTGACACGAGAGCGCAGCTGCTGCAACGTGCACTCTGATATGTCACCGAGGCCATCGAGGAAGGGCTTGGGCACGAGATGCGGCTTGTTGCGGATAATCCAAGCGAGGAAGCGGCAGTATGAGTTCTGGTAGGTGGCCCTCGAACGCGCGGTGACTGTGTTTTCACGAATATCACGAACTGTTTTCTCTAGCTTCTCCCAATCATGGCTATCCATTTTGTGTTAGACAAGAGGTCTGACTTCTTCTGCGCAAATTGCGATTTGCTGGCGTTGTACTCCAGCTGAATATAGGGAGGCGAAGTAAGATTTCAGAAAATGCTAGACCTTATGTCTAACGCTAATACCTGTGTGTCCCACATTGTCGTACAAATTTGGGGGAATGATTCTTAGACGGAAGTAGTCAGACATTTGTCAAACCAACAATTCTGCTATGTATGATGTTTGGTAGGTGGGTACAAATGTAAGCAGTTTGTAGCTCCTTGGGTTCTCATTGATACGCACTGCTAACTACTTGTTGTTTTGCTTTTCTTCCTCAACAGTTTTCCTACTGTCGCCCAGCTCAGCTGCCCGTGGCGTCGCTTTCGTGAGTGTTCGGTGATGTCGTCTACAGCGACGCTGCTTGCGCACTTATGAACACATCGGTTGCAGCATCGATGGCAGTGCTACAAGGAAACAGCTCTTTAGATGTTGCATCTTTCTCAATCTTGAGCATCACAAACCGAAGCTGGCTAAGACGCTTCTGCATCTTCCTGTTGGGCATATCACGACCATCAAGACGGCGAAGCGGTGGTATCTGCTTCGACTTGTTACCACACATCCACAGCACCCACACGTGACGTACGGAGCAATCAGGGATGGTAAAATCTGCGGGTACACGCCGAAACTTTCCACTCCAGTAGTGGCAAAGCTGACCCTCGTTGCCTTCAGTGGCAGCGTCGACAACAGATTCTTGTCTGCTGGATAGCTTCTCGACAAGCTCGCCAACGCCACTATCATGAAGACACGCTCTTATAGCATCATGAAGACCGTCGTAAGTAACCGTTCCAGCACCTATAGCTCGCTTCTCGAGCTCGGATAAAATATTTTGAACAGTATCAAGCCGGGTAGCTTCAGCTTTTGACACCGATTCCAGCAAACCGTCCTTTAGACCCTTCATTTCACAGAGTATAGCCACGTGAGGTGGTACCCCAGTCGGTCGTATACGCGCCGCAGCGCAACCATCACCCGTTCTAATTCTGGTTGTGAGATTTAATAGCAGTTCTTCGTCTTGGAAAAGCGGCGTCTCAAATAAACGGTGCTGTGGAGAAAGCGTAGCCTTCAGGAATGAGGAATGATAGACCAGCGAAGCCAGACAAAACTCTGCAATATACTCGAGCCTATTGGGTAGGCCAGGGAACATCAACTTCATCCCGTTTTCGACGCTCTCATCTCGTGAATCAAAATGTGGTGCTAACGTCGAGAACAGGTAACTTTCGGTAGGCAATCCAGCCACTGTACGACCGACATGCATGTCGCCAGCAGCTTCATATCGGAGGTAGGTGTTTTGAACACCTCCAAGCGACCAGCCGGCTCGCAAATGAACCGCCGTTGATGAAGGACAAGCCGTTGACCCTGACGAACAAAACGTCGCTGATCCTTTCCGCATAGAGTGAGTCCCCAGCTCAGTAGCGACAATCCCTTGGCGCTGCAATTCCGTCGCGACACTCTCTTGCGCCAGTAGACGCAGCCAGCACTTCCGAAATCGCTCGTATTGGTTACTGCCAGGAAAAAGGAGATCGCCGTCGCCAAAATTAGAAACCGCCCAATATACACCTTGTGCCACAATTGGACAAATACTTGGTTGTAGCGGGTTCGCGTAGATATGGCGCGGGTCACGCGGTCGGTCCCCTCCTTGATCATTCTTCATATGCGCGAAGTAAATCTGCAGTGCATCACCCCTCCATTCCATGTGTGAATGGCGAATGCCAAAAGCATTAGACGACCGACACATTAGGTTCCACGCAATCACCATGTACGCGTGAGCAAATGCCATCTCCTTCCCGAGTGAGAGAGCATCTCTTTGCACAAGAAAGAGTACAGATCAAACATGAGTGGGTCCTTACCAGTCTTGACAGAGCTCTCGCCGTTCGCTGCGTCCTTGGCAAGTTTATGCTTGAGTCCTTTAAAGTAGTTTGTCAGCTCGGAGTCTAAATTCTTGGTCATGGTACGGCCGTAGTCACGAAACAAGTTAAACAACCCCGCCCTGTGAGTGTTTAGGGCAGAGTAGCTTAGAGCACAGCCATTATTTCGCTCGAGCGTCACAAGCCATGTGACAAAATCAGCTGCATCTAAGGCCTCAAACTCTAGCGGGATGACAGTGCGTCTTTGCGTAACGAGATCTTTGACACGAGAGCGCAGCTGCTGCAACGTGCACTCTGATATGTCACCGAGGCCATCGAGGAAGGGCTTGGGCACGAGATGCGGCTTGTTGCGGATAATCCAAGCGAGGAAGCGGCAGTATGAGTTCTGGTAGGTGGCCCTCGAACGCGCGCTGACTGTGTACACGAATATCACGAACTGTTTTCTCTAGCTTCTCCCAATCATGGCTATCCATTTTGTGTTAGACAAGAGGTCTGACTTCTTCTGCGCAAATTGCGATTTGCTGGCGTTGTACTCCAGCTGAATATAGGGAGGCGAAGTAAGATTTCAGAAAATGTTAGACCTTATGTCTAACGCTAATACCTGTGTGTCCCACATTGTCGTACAAATTTGGGGGAATGATTCTTAGACGGAAGTAGTCAGACATTTGTCAAACCAACAATTCTGCTATGTATGATGTTTGGTAGGTGGGTACAAATGTAAGCAGTTTGTAGCTCCTTGGTTCTCATTGATACGCACTGCTAACTACTTGTTGTTTTTGCTTTCTTCCTCAACAGTTTTCCTACTGTCGCCCAGCTCAGCTGCCCGTGGCGTCGCTTTCGTGAGTGTTCGGTGATGTCGTCTACAGCGACGCTGCTTGCGCACTTAATGAAGACATCGGTTGCAGCATCGATGGCAGTGCTACAAGGAAACAGCTCTTTAGATGTTGCATCTTTCTCAATCTTGAGCATCACAAACCGAAGCTGGCTAAGACGCTTCTGCATCTTCCTGTTGGGCATATCACGACCATCAAGACGGCGAAGCGGTGGTATCTGCTTCGACTTGTTACCACACATCCACAGCACCCACACGTGACGTACGGAGCAATCAGGGATGGTAAAATCTGCGGGTACACGCCGAAACTTTCCACTCCAGTAGTGGCAAAGCTGACCCTCGTTGCCTTCAGTGGCAGCGTCGACAACAGATTCTTGTCTGCTGGATAGCTTCTCGACAAGCTCGCCAACGCCACTATCATGAAGACACGCTCTTATAGCATCATGAAGACCGTCGTAAGTAACCGTTCCAGCACCTATAGCTCGCTTCTCGAGCTCGGATATAATGACAAGTTCTATATCAAGCCGGGTAGCTTCAATTTTTGACACCGATTCCAGCAAACCGTCCTTTAGACCCTTCATTTCACAGAGTATAGCCACGTGAGGTGGTACCCCAGTCGGTCGTATACGCGCCGCAGCGCAACCATCACCCGTTCTAATTCTGGTTGTGAGATTTAATAGCAGTTCTTCGTCTTGGAAAAGCGGCGTCTCAAATAAATGGTGCTGTGGAGAAAGCGTAGCCTTCAGGAATGAGGAATGATAGACCAGCGAAGCCAGACAAAACTCCGCAATATACTCGAGCCTATTGGGTAGGCCAGGGAACATCAACTTCATCCCGTTTTCGACGCTCTCATCTCGTGAATCAAAATGTGGTGCTAGCGTCGAGAACTGGTAACTTTCGGTAGGCAATCCAGCCACTGTACGACCGACATGCATGTCGCCAGCAGCTTCATATCGGAGGTAGGTGTTTTGAACACCTCCAAGCGACCAGCCGGCTCGCAAATGAACCGCCGTTGATGAAGGACAAGCCGTTGACCCTGACGAACAAAACGTCGCTGATCCTTTCCGCATAGAGTGAGTCCCCAGCTCAGTAGCGACAATCCCTTGGCGCTGCAATTTCGTCGCGACACTCTCTTGCGCCAGTAGACGCAGCCAGCACTTCCGAAATCGCTCGTATTGGTTACTGCCAGGAAAAAGGAGATCGCCGTCGCCAAAATTAGAAACCGCCCAATATATACCAAGTGCCACAATTGGACAAATACTTGGTTGTAGCGGGTTCGCGTAGATATGGCGCGGGTCACGCGGTCGGTCCCCTCCTTGATCATTCTTCATATGCGCGAAGTAAATCTGCAGTGCATCACCCCTCCATTCCATGTGTGAATGGCGAATGCCAAAAGCATTAGACGACCGACACATTAGGTTCCACGCAATCACCATGTACGCGTGAGCAAATGCCATCTCCTTCCCCGAGTGAGAGAGCATCTCTTTGCACAAGAAAGAGTACAGATCAAACATGAGTGGGTCCTTACCAGTCTTGACAGAGCTCTCGCCGTTCGCTGCGTCCTTGGCAAGTTTATGCTTGAGTCCTTTAAAGTAGTTTGTCAGCTGGGAGTCTAAATTCTTGGTCATGGTACGGCCGTAGTCACGAAACAAGTTAGACCACCCCGCCCTGTGAGTGTTTAGGGCAGAGTAGCTTAGAGCACAGCCATCCTTTCGCTCGAGCGTCACAAGCCATGTGACAAAATCAGCTGCATCTAAGGCCTCAAACTCTAGCGGGATGACAGTGCGTCTTTGCGTAACGAGATCTTTGACACGAGAGCGCAGCTGCTGCAACGTGCACTCTGATATGTCACCGAGGCCATCGAGGAAGGGCTTGGGCACGAGATGCGGCTTGTTGCGGATAATCCAAGCGAGGAAGCGGCAGTATGAGTTCTGGTAGGTGGCCCTCGAACGCGCGGTGACTGTGTTTTCACGAATATCACGAACTGTTTTCTCTAGCTTCTCCCAATCATGGCTATCCATTTTGTGTTAGACAAGAGGTCTGACTTCTTCTGCGCAAATTGCTGGCGTTGTACTCCAGCTGAATATAGGGAGGCGAAGTAAGATTTCAGAAAATGCTAGACCTTATGGCTAACGCTAATACCTGTGTGTCCCACATTGTCGTACAAATTTGGGGGAATGATTCTTAGACGGAACTAGTCAGACATTTGTCAAACCAACAATTCTGCTCTGTATGATGTTTGGTAGGTGGGTACAAATGTAAGCAGTTTGTAGCTCCTTGGTTCTCATTGATACGCACTGCTAACTACTTGTTGTTTTTGCTTTCTTCCTCAACAGTTTTCCTACTGTCGCCCAGCTCAGCTGCCCGTGGCGTCGCTTTCGTGAGTGTTCGGTGATGTCGTCTACAGCGACGCTGCTTGCCCACTTAATGAACACATCGGTTGCAGCATCGATGGCAGTGCTACAAGGAAACAGCTCTTTAGATGTTGCATCTTTCTCAATCTTGAGCATCACAAACCGAAGCTGGCTAAGACGCTTCTGCATCTTCCTGTTGGGCATATCACGACCATCAAGACGGCGAAGCGGTGGTATCTGCTTCGACTTGTTACCACACATCCACAGCACCCACACGTGACGTACGGAGCAATCAGGGATGGTAAAATCTGCGGGTACACGCCGAAACTTTCCACTCCAGTAGTGGCAAAGCTGACCCTCGTTGCCTTCAGTGGCAGCGTCGACAACAGATTCTTGTCTGCTGGATAGCTTCTCGACAAGCTCGCCAACGCCACTATCATGAAGACACGCTCTTATAGCATCATGAAGACCGTCGTAAGTAACCGTTCCAGCACCTATAGCTCGCTTCTCGAGCTCGGATATAATATCTTGAACAGTATCAAGCCGGGTAGCTTCAATTTTTGACACCGATTCCAGCAAACCGTCCTTTAGACCCTTCATTTCACAGAGTATAGCCACGTGAGGTGGTACCCCAGTCGGTCGTATACGCGCCGCAGCGCAACCATCACCCGTTCTAATTCTGGTTGTGAGATTTAATAGCAGTTCTTCGTCTTGGAAAAGCGGCGTCTCAAATAAATGGTGCTGTGGAGAAAGCGTAGCCTTCAGGAAAGAGGAATGATAGACCAGCGAAGCCAGACAAAACTCTGCAATATACTCGAGCCTATTGGGTAGGCCAGGGAACATCAACTTCATCCCGTTTTCGACGCTCTCATCTCGTGAATCAAAATGTGGTGCTAGCGTCGAGAACTGGTAACTTTCGGTAGGCAATCCAGCCGCTGTACGACCGACATGCATGTCGCCAGCAGCTTCATATCGGAGGTAGGTGTTTTGAACACCTCCAAGCGACCAGCCGGCTCGCAAATGAACCGCCGTTGATGAAGGACAAGCCGTTGACCCTGACGAACAAAACGTCGCTGATCCTTTCCGCATAAAGTGAGTCCCCAGCTCAGTAGCGACAATCCCTTGGCGCTGCAATTCCGTCGCGACACTCTCTTGCGCCAGTAGACGCAGCCAGCACTTCCGAAATCGCTCGTATTGGTTACTGCCAGGAAAAAGGAGATCGCCGTCGCCAAAATTAGAAACCGCCCAATATATACCAAGTGCCACAATTGGACAAATACTTGGTTGTAGCGGGTTCGCGTAGATATGGCGCGGGTCACGCGGTCGGTCCCCTCCTTGATCATTCTTCATATGCGCGAAGTAAATCTGCAGTGCATCACCCCTCCATTCCATGTGTGAATGGCGAATGCCAAAAGCATTAGACGACCGACACATTAGGTTCCACGCAATCACCATGTACGCGTGAGCAAATGCCATCTCCTTCCCCGAGTGAGAGAGCATCTCTTTGCACAAGAAAGAGTACAGATCAAACATGAGTGGGTCCTTACCAGTCTTGACAGAGCTCTCGCCGTTCGCTGCGTCCTTGGCAAGTTTATGCTTGAGTCCTTTAAAGTAGTTTGTCAGCTCGGAGTCTAAATTCTTGGTCATGGTACGGCCGTAGTCACGAAACAAGTTAAACAACCCCGCCCTGTGAGTGTTTAGGGCAGAGTAGCTTAGAGCACAGCCATCCTTTCGCTCGAGCGTCACAAGCCATGTGACAAAATCAGCTGCATCTAAGGCCTCAAACTCTAGCGGGATGACAGTGCGTCTTTGCGTAACGAGATCTTTGACACGAGAGCGCAGCTGCTGCAACGTGCACTCTGATATGTCACCGAGGCCATCGAGGAAGGGCTTGGGCACGAGATGCGGCTTGTTGCGGATAATCCAAGCGAGGAAGCGGCAGTATGAGTTCTGGTAGGTGGCCCTCGAACGCGCGGTGAATGTGTTTTCACGAATATCACGAACTGTTTTCTCTAGCTTCTCCCAATCATGGCTATCCATTTTGTGTTAGACAAGAGGTCTGACTTCTTCTGCGCAAATTGCGATTTGCTGGCGTTGTACTTCAGCTGAATATAGGGAGGCGAAGTAAGATTTCAGAAAATGCTAGACCTTATGTCTAACGCTAATACCTGTGTGTCCCACATTGTCGTACAAATTTGGGGGAATGATTCTTAGACGGAAGTAGTCAGACATTTGTCAAACCAACAATTCTGCTATGTATGATGTTTGGTAGGTGGGTACAAATGTAAGCAGTTTGTAGCTCCTTGGTTCTCATTGATACGCACTGCTAACTACTTGTTGTTTTTGCTTTCTTCCTCAACAGTTTTCCTACTGTCGCCCAGCTCAGCTGCCCGTGGCGTCGCTTTCGTGAGTGTTCGGTGATGTCGTCTACAGCGACGCTGCTTGCCCACTTAATGAACACATCGGTTGCAGCATCGATGGCAGTGCTACAAGGAAGCAGCTCTTTAGATGTTGCATCTTTCTCAATCTTGAGCATCACAAACCGAAGCTGGCTAAGACGCTTCTGCATCTTCCTGTTGGGCATATCACGACCATCAAGACGGCGAAGCGGTGGTATCTGCTTCGACTTGTTACCACACATCCACAGCACCCACACGTGACGTACGGAGCAATCAGGGATGGTAAAATCTGCGGGTACACGCCGAAACTTTCCACTCCAGTAGTGGCAAAGCTGACCCTCGTTGCCTTCAGTGGCAGCGTCGACAACAGATTCTTGTCTGCTGGATAGCTTCTCGACAAGCTCGCCAACGCCACTATCATGAAGACACGCTCTTATAGCATCATGAAGACCGTCGTAAGTAACCGTTCCAGCACCTATAGCTCGCTTCTCGAGCTCGGATAAAATATCTTGAACAGTATCAAGCCGGGTAGCTTCAATTTTTGACACCGATTCCAGCAAACCGTCCTTTAGACCCTTCATTTCACAGAGTATAGCCACGTGAGGTGGTACCCCAGTCGGTCGTATACGCGCCGCAGCGCAACCATCACCCGTTCTAATTCTGGTTGTGAGATTTAATGGAGCTGCTGCAACGTGCACTCTGATATATCACCGAGGCCATCAAGGAAGGGCTTGGGCACGAGATGCGGCTTGTTGCGGATAATCCAAGCGAGGAAGCGGCAGTATGAGTTCTGGTAGGTGGCCCTCGAACGCACGGTGACTGTGTTTTCACGAATACACAAACTGTTTTCTCTAGCTTCTCCCAATCATGGCTATCCATTTTGTGTTAGACAAGAGGTCTGACTTCTTCTGCGCAAATTGCGATTTGCTGGCGTTGTACTCCAGCTGAATATAGGGAGGCGAAGTAAGATTTCAGAAAATGTTAGACCTTATGTCTAACGCTAATACCTGTGTGTCCCACATTGTCGTACAAATTTGGGGGAATGATTCTTAGACGGAAGTAGTCAGACATTTGTCAAACCAACAATTCTGCTATGTATGATGTTTGGTAGGTGGGTACAAATGTAAGCAGTTTGTAGCTCCTTGGTTCTCATTGATACGCACTGCTAACTACTTGTTGTTTTTGCTTTCTTCCTCAACAGTTTTCCTACTGTTGCCCAGCTCAGCTGCCCGTGGCGTCGCTTTCGTGAGTGTTCGGTGATGTCGTCTACAGCGACGCTGCTTGCCCACTTAATGAACACATCGGTTGCAGCATCGATGGCAGTGCTACAAGGAAACAGCTCTTTAGATGTTGCATCTTTCTCAATCTTGAGCATCACAAACCGAAGCTGGCTAAGACGCTTCTGCATCTTCCTGTTGGGCATATCACGACCATCAAGACGGCGAAGCGGTGGTATCTGCTTCGACTTGTTACCACACATCCACAGCACCCACACGTGACGTACGGAGCAATCAGGGATGGTAAAATCTGCGGGTACACGCCGAAACTTTCCACTCCAGTAGTGGCAAAGCTGACCCTCGTTGCCTTCAGTGGCAGCGTCGACAACAGATTCTTGTCTGCTGGATAGCTTCTCGACAAGCTCGCCAACGCCACTATCATGAAGACACGCTCTTATAGCATCATGAAGACCGTCGTAAGTAACCGTTCCAGCACCTATAGCTCGCTTCTCGAGCTCGGATAAAATATTTTGAACAGTATCAAGCCGGGTAGCTTCAATTTTTGACACCGATTCCAGCAAACCGTCCTTTAGACCCTTCATTTCACAGAGTATAGCCACGTGAGGTGGTACCCCAGTCGGTCGTATACGCGCCGCAGCGCAACCATCACCCGTTCTAATTCTGGTTGTGAGATTTAATGGCAGTTCTTCGTCTTGGAAAAGCGGCGTCTCAAATAAACGGTGCTGTGGAGAAAGCGTAGCCTTCAGGAAAGAGGAATGATAGACCAGCGAAGCCAGACAAAACTCTGCAATATACTCGAGCCTATTGGGTAGGCCAGGGAACATCAACTTCATCCCGTTTTCGACGCTCTCATCTCGTGAATCAAAATGTGGTGCTAGCGTCGAGAACTGGTAACTTTCGGTAGGCAATCCAGCCACTGTACGACCGACATGCATGTCGCCAGCAGCTTCATATCGGAGGTAGGTGTTTTGAACACCTCCAAGCGACCAGCCGGCTCGCAAATGAACCGCCGTTGATGAAGGACAAGCCGTTGACCCTGACGAACAAAACGTCGCTGATCCTTTCCGCATAGAGTGAGTCCCCAGCTCAGTAGCGACAATCCCTTGGCGCTGCAATTCCGTCGCGACACTCTCTTGCGCCAGTAGACGCAGCCAGCACTTCTGAAATCGCTCGTATTGGCTACTGCCAGGAAAAAGGAGATCGCCGTCGCCAAAATTAGAAACCGCCCAATATATACCTAGTGCCACAATTGGACAAATACTTGGTTGTAGCGGGTTCGCGTAGATATGGCGCGGGTCACGCGGTCGGTCCCCTCCTTGATCATTCTTCATATGCGCGAAGTAAATCTGCAGTGCATCACCCCTCCATTCCATGTGTGAATGGCGAATGCCAAAAGCATTAGACGACCGACACATTAGGTTCCACGCAATCACCATGTACGCGTGAGCAAATGCCATCTCCTTCCCCGAGTGAGAGAGCATCTCTTTGCACAAGAAAGAGTACAGATCAAACATGAGTGGGTCCTTACCAGTCTTGACAGAGCTCTCGCCGTTCGCTGCGTCCTTGGCAAGTTTATGCTTGAGTCCTTTAAAGTAGTTTGTCAGCTCGGAGTCTAAATTCTTGGTCATGGTACGGCCGTAGTCGCGAAACAAGTTAAACAACCCCGCCCTGTGAGTGTTTAGGGCAGAGTAGCTTAGAGCACAGCCATCCTTTCGCTCGAGCGTCACAAGCCATGTGACAAAATCAGCTGCATCTAAGGCCTCAAACTCTAGCGGGATGACAGTGCGTCTTTGCGTAGCGAGATCTTTGATACGAGAGCGCAGCTGCTGCAACGTGCACTCTGATATGTCACCGAGGCCATCGAGGAAGGGCTTGGGCACGAGATGCGGCTTGTTGCGGATAATCCAAGCGAGGAAGCGGCAGTATGAGTTCTGGTAGGTGGCCCTCGAACGCGCGGTGACTGTGTTTTCACGAATATCACGAACTGTTTTCTCTAGCTTCTCCCAATCATGGCTATCCATTTTGTGTTAGACAAGAGGTCTGACTTCTTCTGCGCAAATTGCGATTTGCTGGCGTTGTACTCCAGCTGAATATAGGGAGGCGAAGTAAGATTTCAGAAAATGTTAGACCTTATGTCTAGCGCTAATACCTGTGTGTCCCACATTGTCGTACAAATTTGGGGTAATGATCAAAATGTCTGTTTCGGGTGATTATTTCCAACCAGAGGAAGTTTTTTTGTTGGTTTTTAGAAGAACTGAAGTCGCCAGTGTAATTTCATGAGCAACAACATGTGAACGCACAAACCAGCATAAAGTTGAGTATGCTCAATACTTTGCAACTCTATACAACCTCTAGTCTTGGTCTGCAAAGGCACAAAAACAGCAATAGCAACAACACAATGAGTCGATCAACTTTTAGCAGCACATTGACAACTTATTCAGGAGTCAACTCACGTGCACGGGTTGGGTCATCGATGTACTGCTTGCGCGTCTTCGTGAAAGTCTTGGTGAAAGACTTGTCTCCAGCCTTGGTGAGTCTATTTTTTGCTAGGCTTCGTAGGGCCTACATCACGTTGTACATGGGACACACCACGCGCGTGAGCTTCGTCAATAATCCTCCTCTAAACCTGCAGCAACCATCTACCTCACGTCTCTTTTTCAAAGGTTTGGTACGGTTACGCTGCATCACGACGATGGGGATGATGCCGAGAGCCAACACGGCCACAAGGCCAACCCAGTTCGCCATCGAGTCCTCCACGCCGTCCTCCGCGAAACGAGCAGCCTCATCGAAGTTCCTTCGCACCAAAAAGTCAATTTTATTCAGCACAAGAGCATCTAAATCCACTGCATCATCCACATACTCGAAGCCCTGGTCGTCGGCAATGCCATACACGTCGTACTTTTCGCGACGCTCCGGATCCGACAGCACGCGGTACGCTGTACACATCCAGAATAAAAAAATACTAATCAGCACTAGATACGCGGTTTGAAAATCATCAAAAGCCGCCGCACCATTGGTAATCTTAACGAATTCCTCCTTCATGGCTTCACGCATCTCCTCCGTCTGCTTGTCCGGGTGGTACTTGAGTGACAGTTTGCGGTAGCTGTCAACAGTGGTGCCACGAATCCGTTAGAATATCCCTGAAATCGCAGCGTGTTTTCTCTGCTGCTACGCACGCGCGCTTCATCTGTGACGCAGTGGCCGATGACGACACACCCAGAAGCTCGTATATGTCTTGACCAAGCGCCACCGCGGCGCACAGCAGCATACACATCGCGCCCAAGAATACGCGATTCCTCATCATGCTTCCTTGCCAAATGCCGAATTACGACCACAATGCAGACTTTGAACCAGTAATGTATTTTTCACTATATTTAGCCAATCGCTGAGTGTATCTTCCTTCACAATTATTGTGGACGGATAACCTCGGTTGGAGTCACCACCAGGTCGAGCATTTTATCGTGCGCAGCTAACGGCACTTGCTCAACGAGCTGTGGCGCCAGACAGAGGCCCTGCAATTGCAAGATATCAACATGTGCCGTGGCAAAAATTCTATCTTGCAATGACACGTACGATAGTTGTGGGCGGCGGGTGTCCGATGGCGTCGTAGTGCTCAGTCAGGCGCCTCAGGAACGAGTCTACATACAGCAGCAGCAATAGTAGTCAGCATAACCTCTCGCAACATTATGCAGCTAGTAGCAGCAGCCTAACCATAGTAACCCTTTCCATGGCCCACACGTCCTCCTCGGCGATCGAAGGCAACGCCTGGCAGTAGCACGAGCTCCAGATCGTCGCCTTGCACAGCATCGTCACGCGGCACTCCGGTACCCAATAGTAGAGGAGGGTCTGGAATCTGCCATTTATCCTGTCTCGATCATTGCAGCCCGATCAGATCGCTGGCTAAATGACATGTACTGCTACGTATAGTCTACTAGTAGGCATCGAAGTGTCAATCCGACCTTGGGAAAGCTGCGGATGTCGTCCATCGATGTCGCCTGAAGCATCTTCAGGTCTTCGGCCGATCGACCCATTATTTTGGGCACAAAAACCTTCTTATCCGCTACGAATGCGGCCTCCAAAATCTTGGACGTGGCCGCCTCCTTGGGCATCTCCAGGTACACACTGATGCCATGAGCTCGCGCGAACTCCGGCAAAGCGCATATCTGCTCGGACAACAGGCGGCTTTGCTCTATCACCTCGGCATCCGGTAGCGCTTTGAGCATTGTTCCAATACGGCGCCGTAGCTCCTTCTTCAGCGACGCGGCCATGTCCTCGACACTGGTCGAGCGTGATGCGCTACTGCTCGGCACCATCTCACACGTCTGAATTTTAGTCAGGTCTAAACTCTAACGTTATCAAGAGAAAATTTGGCATTTAGGTCCTAACGCCAAATTAGGAATCGTGCTTTTATTCGGTGCACTCGTTGTGCGGCAGAGAATAAACCCTTTAAAATTGATCTGGTTTCACTGTCTCTTATTTAAACTAAAGTTATAAACCGTGCTTTTATCGCTGTGCGGCAGAGAATAAACCCTTTAAAATTGATCTGATTTCACTGTCTCTTATTTAAACTAAAGTTATAAAACCGTGCTTTTATACCCACAGCAAAAAAAAATCTTTATGTGATGGCTACAATCAGGTTTTACCGATTCTTCTAAAATTTTAAACCAAGAGGTGCGCAATCCTAAATAACGCCACACCGCACAACATCTCTTGCGCGCTCCAGCACGGACAGGGAGAATGAACCGCCTTGACTACAGGCTGGAGAGGGCCTTGTCCTCCAGCTCAGCACTAGACGATGATGCACCATATTCCGGTAGGTCCATTGCCTGCAAGCAATGGCAACTCACAGATTCTTCGAATCCCTAATAACAAATACATATGTTCTTTTGTAAACTTATCTGTGAACCCTTTTTGTCATACGATCAGGACGAGGCTCTGAGTGTTTTGACATGGATATGGACGAGGAGGAGGCTCTGCGAAAGGCTGCACGCGCAGGAATCCAACTACTCGAAGCCAACAAGGCGTTGAACGAGGAGGTATTGGCGCTGCGCGAGCAGGTGGCAGTGTTGGAGCACGAGCGACCGAAACTACGCGCGCACCTTAAAATGCGCGAGCAGGAACTGGCCAGTGCAACGGAAAACCGAAAATGTTTACTCATGGAGGCCAGCGCACTACACAATGAGCTCAAGGCCAAGTCGATACTTGTGACGGATCTATTGGAGAAAGAGGATCTGCTCAAGCAGCAAGTCGCCAATGCTGAGACTGCCAAAACGTTGGCAGAGAATCAGATTAAAGTCTTGGAATCGGAGCTGGAACAACTTAAAACGGACACTGCCAAGGCTGAGTCTGCAGAGCAGAACTACGCTGTGACGAACCCTGCAGCGACGTACGACTCGAACCAGTCAAGTGTCTTTACGTACATGGACTACGAGGAGCTACAGAACCGACTACACACCACGTCGGAAGAAAATGAAGCGCATACATTGGAGGTCAAGAGTCTGCGCAAAGAGGTCGAAACTATGCGTCGGAAGGTGTCGAAGCAACCAGAATTTGTTGCACACATCGAACGTCTTGAAAAGCGTAACGAGAAGCTGCAAAGCGCCAATGATACGTTGCGTGAAGAGAGAATGGAGGAGCAAGCCGTGCTAGACAGTCTCCGCTCGATGAACCTGGTGTACAAGAAGATTGCCGAGTCGCGCCCATTTGCTACTGACTGCACGTGCTCACAGCAACCGGAAGAAGCAGATTCACTGACATTGGGGGTCACTGTGCGTGACGTGCTCATTGAGACGAACATGAAGCTAGAAGCCGAGTTACGGGAGTTGCGGTCTACCATGGACCTGCCACATCTTTCTGAGAACGCTGAAGAAGAAGTGCTGGAACAGGCGCTTAAACGCGTGGCGAGTAATAGCAGTAATGGATCGGCTGCTTCCGAGTGTAGTAGCGGCAGTGGCTCGAAGGAGACGGCGAATGAACGACTGAGTCGCAAATTGCAGATCGTCAACGAGAAATTTAATCTTTCCAAGGAAATGCTGCGCCACACCAAGGTGCAATGGTGCGCAGCGATCGCTTCTCAGAAGGCGCTGGAGGAATGCAATAAATCAGCTCAAGAAGAAATTTTTCGTCTCACACACCAGCTCGACTACCACATTGCAGCTCTTGCTGATGCGAATGTGGATGATAAAGAGAAACAGATTAGAGCTCTCGTGGATGAGGAGGAGAGTAGCAAATGGACAGAGGAGAGCGCGCCGTTCCCAGCACCACCAGGCGATCTCAACTCGCCACTAATCAGGCGCTTCCTGGATCAATGGACCACTGACAATTTCAAAGTCATGGCGCTTACGGACTGGCTGCATAACTCGATCCGAGGCACCGGTCGAGCGACACCCATGCGGCTCGTGGATTTATCGAGCGAGATAGCAGCAGGTTTTACGCAGTTGTTGGTCCCCATTATGCGTGAGCGGCACGGCATTTCCGTGAGCATCTACCGTCGTGACAGCGTACACGTATTGTCGGACTTAGTACTGCAGACCAACCACCCCAGCGTGACGATGCAGTCTTACTCCTCAGCTGCATTCAGAGACAAAGTCGTACCAACGGATCCTCATGACCCGGACGAAAGTTGTGAGCCCGAGGTGGACTCAGCGTCATTCCGCACTCGGGGGAGTTCTGGCGATAGTATAATACTTAAAGGTGAGGCGCAGTTCCTGTACGGCTGAGTTGACGACGACGAACGAGCAAAAATCTGTGGTGCAAACGACCAGCTGGATTCTAGCAAATATGAACACAAGCCCACGACTTCCGGTGCATCGATCGTGGCAACTACTTATTAAGGACCCCTTGAGTGATTTCCCCGACACCAGTGAAATTCCATACGTATGCAGCACCTCTCGGAAGTGCAATGTCGGAACTTATATCTAAATTCGTGTCTTCACTTCCCATATGTGTGGCCGTAACCTTAAAAAATGTCGATGTTGAAGTGTTCATGTTGAAGTGAGGTTGTAAATTACACAACTGGAGCTTTTCTGCTAAAACGCAGTTCTCTCTCCAACAGCCGTTTCAGGAGTAACACCGTCGGGCTTGTCGGCGCTGCTGTACGATTCACCGATCTCACGAACGCGAACGGATCTGACCCCATCAACGTAGCGTTTAGTAATATATCGGAAAGCCCACGAATTTTGACATCCGAACTGCTTGCTGAACGTAGGTTCATCTGATGAGGGGGTTTCAAGTATGGGATGCCACAGAGATTTTTGTGCCACGTGAATGAAGCCTGCTGCACAGTACGTTACAGTCTTCATTTTGGCATTGCACAACACTGCGTGGAAAGCCGCAAAGCGACGCTTGGGTGCAGCTCCAACAAAAGTGTTTTGGCCTCCGTTCATCACTCCCGAATTCTCCGTCGAGTACAGAACCCCTCGGCGCTTGCAGAGGCTCTACACCGACACCATCAAACGCGCACACAGCAATAACCGCCAATCTAGACACGATGCTCACTGACAAGCAGCCGAAGTCGACGTACAGCAGCCCAAGCCCGAGCGGCCCAGCAGCCCACTGGAATGGCGATAGCAGCGACTTGTCAACCATCTTCCCTGCCAGCTTCTTCGAGCCTACAACTCCCGAGACTTTTTTGGAACTAAACCCGGCAGGTTTTTTCTCGCACAATAGCAACGCAAGCAAAGGAACTTGCGTGTCCGCTGGGTTTCGTAGGAGATCTTCGTCCCCACCGGCGATGAATTGCTGGCTGGAACCGTCGCGCGAGCCATGCACAGACGATATTCCATGGTCAGACTTGGTTTTCTGGCTGGGTAATGTGTCGACAGGCGAGGTGGTGTGTTCGTGCGCACAGTGCACACGGAGAGTCATGCGGGGGTACAACGCGAATCTTCTCCGTCACCAGCGCTACTCGCCCTACCAGCAGCAGCAGAGACGGCGAGTCTCGTCAAGAGTACCTGTGATCAATATGCCACGAATCGAGGGGGTCAACTGAACTGCGTTACGCTACCATAAGTTAAGCATGTTGCTCCCCGCGAGTTTTTGAATACCACATTGAAGTTTGCACAACTGTCGACGAATCCTATGATTAATAAGGTGTACAGCTACTGCAACCAAAGCTTAAACAGGAAAAAGTGGTACTGAAAGAGTTAACAGCTCTGCCACCCGCAACCTTGCGTAAGGATCACCAGCACAATCTTTTCCAAGCAGGCTTCATCACTGTTGAAGCCTGCTTGGAAAAGTGTTGAATCAACACTGCTACCGGTACTGTATGCGCAAAGCGGCGAGCAATGACGTGATAGAAAGGGGTAGGCGAGGGAGTCAAGTCAGAAAAGAGCCACTGGAGCTTCGACGTAGAAGTTGCGAATGAATGGTCGGCATTCGTCGCTCGACGTCGAACCTACGGTGCATCTGTCTATTGTATTGCCGACATTGAAGTGGTTTGTCTGTATAGATGTATAGTCTCCTCAGAGGAGGAGTCCTCTTGCATAAGAGGCTCAGCGTCTGAAGGCGGCTTTCTGCCCAGCTGGACTGCTTTTTTCAGGAAGTTTTCGATTGTGAACAAGAACAGGCTGCTGAAAATGTTGTCGCTGTAGCTCTCTGCCAAGCAGGCATCCTGCGTTCGCATTACATGTACTGTACATGTAGTTGTGAAGACGACCATGCACCCTGCAATTCTACACTTCGTGGCGTGGCGGGCTGTCACGCCACAATGCGCCAGGGCCTGCCCAGGCGATCCCCATTGTGGGTCTGATCGCGTTTCTAGGTGGCCCTCAAGTCAGAACTAGCAAAAAATGGGTGGAGACCAGACAGTCGCTGTCCGATTGGCCAAATCCGCAGGAAAAAGAACTGTCTCAAAGTGCGCTTCAATGTCACACATAGACGGGGGGCTGTCTTCTCTTCAACAACTGCGGTGGCCATCCTTATTTGAGCAAGAAATTATCGGATCGAGATGAAACGAGCGACAACCGAATTTGTGCCTTGGTCGACAAATACATAGCTTATCGATCGATTCCTCTCGAAAACGAAAAGTGTTGGCGCCGTGGACGCTTCTTTTTTGTTGAAGTTGCCAGGAGTCAGAGCCGGGGATCTTTTGTTCCCTCTGGACCAATCACACGGATTAACAGTGTTGAAGTGAAAAATCCGGACCGCTCAGTAACTTAGCCCCCGAGACGACTGATACCCTGCTACTAACGTTTAGATTGTGAAAGCATTTTTAGTTTTCGTGCTGTGAAAATAAAGTTAGCCTGCCGTTATCGATGAAGGTAAGTTTTTGAGAATCGAAGATTTCGTCAATTGACAACAGGTACGACGACGATTGGATGAAAATCGTCTGGTTGATTTAAGGGGGAAATGTCGGACGCGTTTCCAGTCGGTGGCGATTTCGAGGTTCACATCGCAATTCGGATCATTCAAGTCAAGACTCCACGCCGCCTCCGTATCAGACAGGCAGCGTAATTAGTACTGGTACACCACTACAAACTCTCATGGACATGCGTTCGTTGATCCACCAGGGCTTGTCCCCGAGCAGCAGCAGCGGCTCTGCTCCAGCTTCGAGCTCCAACTCCAGTGCAACCCTCAACAGCAGCTTTCCCACCTCCTCTGCGCTACCTGTGCCGTCCTTCCCGGCTATGCGGCCGCAGCCGACTATTTTCCAGCGCGCTGCCGCTCCAGGCGCTGCAGTTCCGCAGGCACCGACACTAGCGCCGCTTCGCTTTATCATACCCAGTTCTCGCACTACAAACAGCTTTGGTACCGGTCTTACGGCCGCCATCCCGTCCGCCTCCGCGAATCCACCCCTCTATAGCACCTTAAACGATCCTGAGCGCGAGCCGCTGCCACAACATTCGTTGCTTTACCCGCAGGACCGATTCGCTACCAAGACGGAGGAACAGCAACTCTCCCCCACGGGTGAAAACATGCTGAACGGCCTCAGCCAGACCAAGAAGATCACACCCAAGCGCACTCGTCAACCAAAGCTCTCGAATCGTTCCACCAAGAGCAAAGCTCGCCCAGGTCTCCGCAAGGGCAAGTGGACAGAAGAGGAGAGCCGATACGCTGCCCAGCTCACTAACTACTTTAAGGAAGGACTTTTGCCTATCGAGAGAGGCACAATGCTGCGTCTCTACCTGTCACAGAAGCTCAACTGTGAGCCCATGCGTATCACTAAGAAGTTCACGGGCGGAGAGTGTATCGGCAAGCAAGTTTACCGTCCGTGCAGCCCCACTCCGGGGTCCCGTGTGAGGATCATGCAGGCACAACTCGAGCTGGTGGCGCTTGAGGCTGCGTTCATCAAGCGACTTAAAGAGAACCGGGAGGACCCTCCCATCGCAACAGACGAGTTCGACGTGCGGTGTGGGTCATCTAGCAATAGGTCACGACCCGTCCCGCTTAAGCCCCGCATGTTCCAGGACAAAGAGGGAGACGAAGAGGACGCCAATGCCGTGGGATTGCTTCTCGACTTTTTCTACAAGGCCAATCGAAACGAGAAGAAGGAAGGCAAGCGTGCTTCTGCGGATAAGGACGACGAATGTTCTTCCAGTAAGCAAACTGAGGCGAAGGAAGGAGCAGTAGCAGAAGAGGAACAAATCGTGAAGGAACCTATAGAGACGACTGCGCCGACCTCACCGAGCACCACCGCAACCAACAGCGAGAACGACACAGCGATCAATTCCCCGACGAAACGAATGCGCGCGCTCTCGGTTAGCTGCGTTGACCCTGCAGCGGCCAAGCGCTCACGCATCGGCTCCTTCTCCACTGTCACGGCTGCATAGAGAACATTGACCGATCAGAGGGAGAGAGAGAGCTATAGAAAAGTGTTAGATGCCTGGAATTTTTAGCCTGTTTTGTCTAGCCTTGCATGTCATCACGTAACTAGAACACGAGAACCTTATGAACTCCCATCTATAATGGATTGCTCATATTCGCGTATCGAGGACTGCGCTGGGCGAGTAGAAATCGCGACCCGTTTGGGTAGCTTATTCCTTCATTTTCGGAGGAACGATCTGCGCCAACGATGTTCTTGACCATAGCACCAAGCGACATCGTATGTTGCAGCTGAAGTATGAAGGCGCGTTTTACACGTGTCGCTCTCAACGTGAGAGTCTCACGTTGAAGGAGGAATTTACCAGGTTGAAGTGATTTACAACCAGGATGTGTCGCTCGGTGTACAGTACACTGGAAGTACAGTACTGTAATGTATGCAAAATGCATGGATACCTGGCTCCGTCATGCCAAAACTCCTGGCCCAGAAGCCCCGGCAAAGAGATGGCTTTGCCGGCCAATGGCCACCATTGCTGCGTTGACGTGGACGTTTATTCACGAAACGTGGCATCGTGTCTTCTTATATGGTACTCTGCTATTGATACATGTACATGTGCTATTCTGCTCTCGATAGGTGGCCCCATAGGCAAGTCAGTAACAGTACATGTAGCATGCACCACGCAGTCGCAATTTGCTAACGCAAGATCATTAATGGAGTTAAAGGTAGCTTACTTTCCAGGGCAACACTAGTTGAGCTCGCTACATGTAGTCGCATTCTCGTCCTAACTCCTGTCTATCCGTCTACATGATGTTGCAGCGCGATGCCAGACCACTGGCGCCAGATGCAGCCTGCTGCTGTTGCGCCGCCACGTCGCCCATCTTGACTGCAAATGCGTGGATTTTGCCGTACACCGCCGCAACTACTGCAGGACAGCGCGGGTGGTGGACGAGCGTGAGAATCGTCGCGTGAAGCGAGCGGAAGGCCTCCTGCAACTGCGGTGAGATCATGTAGCGCACACGCAGCACCTGCCAGTACAGCACAAGCAGCAGGAAATTGCGCGATGGCGTGAGCATCTCGAGGATCAAGGCAACGCCAATGGCCACATCAATATTGGCCGCCACCTGTGGCATGCGCGTGTACAGCTTGGCCCACTTAGCACGCGTAGCCATTGCCGGGAAGCTTCGGTCACTAATGATAAGCGCGGTCAGAGGCACCAACGCCTTGCTGTTCACTAGCGTCACAACTGGAGACTCGGCCAGCCCCAGAGTCTGCAGTAGTGACTGCAAATAGGCGAAAAAGTGCACCATTTCCAGCAGGAAGACGGGCATCATAGCCATGCCATGTGGAGCCGAGACCCAGAACACAAGACAGAAGAAGAAGACCTGAGCAGCGGGGTCCAACAGCAGACGTTGTGCGTAGGCGGCGTTCCATTTGGGAACCCCGTGGGAAAACGCTAAGTAGCTGGCGTGGTTGACAAGTGCCAGCTTGAAGAAGTTCGAATAGGCGGCGTAGCTGGACAGCAGCACGGGGATCCAAAAGTTGACGAAACAGAGCAGCATCAAGCTGCGGAGGAGGAACTGGTAAAGCTGGAACATGTTACGCTTGTTGCCGAGCAAAAAAATCTTCAAATTGACGGCTGGGGCTGGTGTAGGCGTCGAAGAAGAAGAAGAAGAGCTTTGGGGAGTGCCTGATCTCTGGGTGACGAGCTTGGCTTCCACTGCACGGAGGCCTTCGAGCAGCCCCGCGTTAGACACCTCGTGACTAAGACCATCTTTGTAGGCTCTATAGGCGTCGGCGTATCGTCCCAGAGCGTAAAGCGCGGAGCCACGGCGCGAGTATCCCTTGGCCCAGTTGGGCTTGAGTATGATGCATTGATCGGCGTCCTTGAGCGCTTCGTCGGCTTTGTTAAGCTTGAGTTGAGCTGCTGAGCGATTGCTGTAAAAGACGTGCGCGTTTGGGTCGGAGGGAGCGACAGCCAGCGCCTCAGAGAAGCAGGCCACGGCGTCAGAGTACAGGCCCGCGGCGAAGGCGCGATTACCTCGAGTTTTGGCTTGCTCAGCGGCCATTAGATCAAATGTCGAAAGGGAAATGACCAAGATAGCTTGAAAAGGTTGACATAAGGATAGAGAGAGCGATTTCTATTGAATAACTTGACGTAGTGTGGAGATTTAGCTAAATATTAAGTATGTAAGGGAAATGACAGTCGTAAAAGAGAGGGAAAAATTGGGGGTGCATTACCCTTTTTTTAAAGGCAGGTGTTGGAGGACACGATTAAGGTCAGGATTAATCCTGGACGTCAAAACCTATCTTATTTGAGTAGCCATATGGGAGAAAGATACCTAACGTGTGGCTGTCCTTCTTCCAGGATTAATAATGTACGTTTCCGGATTAAATCATGTTTTGAAAATACGTACAGTAATGTTAGTAGCTTTTTACAGGATTAATACTGGAATTTCCATAGATAAAATCCTGGAAAGATCTCTTAAAGGCTTTTATCTCGTCGATCGCATTGAGTTTCGTGCACGACAGGCTCAAGCTCACCATTCCTGTGCTTCAGTTTACTGAGATCGCTCTTTATTCTGCAGGGTCAAAGTTGAAATGACATGTATTTGGGCTTTTGCAGGTCTTGAAAGGCAACCATCAAGCCAAAACTACATTTAGACCCGCGTTTGTGCACATTCTTGTTTCTGCGTTGGCTCCACTTGTTCTTCTTCGTCGGTTTGCTGCATATCTTCATGTTGAGCAACAGCAGGGCGCTTTTCCTCCGTGTCATCTTGTTCAGCACTGACCGATGGCTGTATGGGCAGCAGATGACCTTTCAGCATGTACAGTAGTAGAAAAGCTCGAAACGACGCTTCGTGAGAGACGCAACGCTAATATCCACGGGGTGTCCAGTAGAGACTTGCCTAATGAACATCCAGCAGACGTAAACGCCGCAGCTGAAACCGTCAAACTGGATGCGATTGTTTTGAGGGATCACGTCGTACTTGGTAGGTCCGCCAATCTTGAGGCTGTTAGCAACAGCGTTGGCAGCTTTAATGGACGGACCTTGAGAGAGAGATCCCTGTTGCCTTCACGCGCGCTCCGGGCGCTTACATCGCTTCCGCCGACGTTACGCGTTATCTTATCGGGAAGCGGTAGAAACGCGAATGAGGAAAATCCGAATTTATACATTTCGGAATTAGGCGAATTGGGGATTTTATTTTACTTTCAATCATGGACAGACCCATGATTGGAATCCTGTACTAATCCATGTATATAATCATGGCCTCCAACAGGCGCGTTTTTTAAATGCCATTTTTAAAAGACCAGTGTTAGAGTCACACAATAAGAGTGTGACTTCGTACTTAAGCGCATATTAGTGACACAGACACGGCACTCCGTCTTGTGTGGCGAATACTAGCGTCACAAAGCCACAAAAGGGCACACTATCAAAATAAATTACCCGATATATTATAAAAAATTCAGCCCGTGCCGCGTGCTTGCGCATACCGAAATGTGCTGCGAATGTTGTGCTAATGGTCGTGTTGCACGACTGTACGCAAGACTTCGCGCAGTCAGATTTCTGCCGCAGTGAGAGGCGACGCGGGCGCTGCGGACGCGCGAGGAATGACGGATGAAGACGATGGAAACAAGCGTCCGAGATGCAAGTAGCACGGGGAGGGGATATCCTCGTCACGACGTGATTTGCTTTGCATGGAGGCTGTGCCGCCGTGCTGAAGGTCTCGAACAAGCTATCCAGCGTTGGGCATGTGACCAAGTGCCCGAGAGCCATGCAATGTGGGCATCACCCAGTCGTACAGCGCTGTCAAGACCACCGCAGAGTCGACGTAAGAGCATGTTTATGGGCATGGCCGCGCAGCTCGTGCCTTGCCAACAGTACCAACAACGCGGCTCCAGGTCGGACACGTAGATTTGTAGCGGTTGCTGATGGACTCATGAAAGCAGATACATGGTGGAGAAGTGCTTACGCTATCCCATGCAGCACGGCATGCTGCATGGTCATGAAGAGAATAAAAAAACGGGCGCGCGAGCTCGCGAACACGCATGCAAGACGAAAGCATTTATGGTTCTTAAAGGAGACGACGTGCCGGCCGCCTCAGTCCTTGTTATGCAGACATATTCGTGGCTACTTATAAGATGCAGCTTCACATAAGGTTGATTCAATATCTCGTTTGAAAGGCACATACACGTTCTTGAACGCTAGTTGAACCTAGGCGAAAAGCGACTTCATCAGAAAACGCAATCTGATGTAGCGCAAGAGGTTCTTCGGTAATGTTGTCGGCAGCGTTAAATTACGCACAGCGCACTCGAAAAACAGTAGAACTAGCGGACCGCAGTTGGTGATGTCTTTTTGTTTCATGCGGTGCTCACGTCTTGATATCATTGCCTCCGTCGTGTCGGAAAACAGATCCTTGACAATATTTTCACACTCGACATATTGATCCTCTTTTTGCATCGGGTCGAAGAAGGTAAGCGTCTGTGATTTAATGTCAAAAACTACTCCACACCAATGAGAGTTGTTGAGATGGATAGGGAGTAGTACATACTCGTTGCTTGCGTGAAATGGCTGAGTTGCGGCAATTATCGTGTACTGTGACTTCACGTTAACCGTTCCACAGAATGCGGGTGAAATTATTCCTGTTGTGCCATGCTCTTCTCGAATTGTTGTCATTGCATGCAGCAGACAGTCATCATTTATCCATTTGCTCCGGCTCCGGTACTTCTTCATCTTTCAAAATTTGTTTCCCTTCCACGATGTAGTACAAATACTTTCGACCAATTTCATACTCGCCTTCCGTTTGCGCACTTAGCATCATATGAACAGCATCTTCGATCTTTTCACGATCAAGAAGTCCGCACACACGCTTTGCCATCTCGGTCCGTAAATACTTAACAACGTGGAATACACAAAGGAGAATTCGCGCAGCCGGAAAAGCAGATTGCAGTAACGAAATTTCTCCGAAGTCCTTATCGACGATGATTACACGGACGTCATCCCACGTCGCGTTAAATGACTTGAAAGATGTGATCGCATCGGAAAGACACTCTGCACTCTCGTTCTCCATAAGGGCATGCTGCACGTATTGGCCCTGTGTGCCACAAGTCACACAAAAACCACAAAGTCACAAAATGCCACATCGCCACACCAAAAACCACAAAATGCCACAACGCGACCACGTAAATCACAAAGCACCACAATGCCGCAGTAAATCGCCACAAAAGTCACACATTTGTCAACAAGCCACAATAGTCACAAGTAGTCACCGTGCAAACAAACACAACGAACAACATTAGACGGTCAGACACGTGAAAGATAGATGAAGCGCTCTTACATGGCCAAAAACGTCGTGAATCATGAAACTGAAAAGCTTGTATCTGGCGTCGTTAGTGTTGTGAGTCGCGTCGATCATCAAAACCTCAGGAAAAGCTTCGAAAAAGCGCCGCATTTGATGGGTCTGGAAAGTAATTACTTAAGCCAACTTGTCATCATCCACGTAGATGGTAGCCGTGTTTCCTTTTCGCAAGCAGAAGTCTCTAAGGCTGGACTCTAACCTTGCTTCAACAGTAGTAGATCCTCGGCGTTGTTCCTTAAGCTTCTGCACCATGTTGTGCACGTCACGTAGGGCTACCTGCTTGCCTGCCAGATGAAACAGATTAGTTCAGCAATATTATAGCAATAAAAAACAGCAAATGATAGTACTAGTACCTGAGCGACGCCGCAAAAATGCAAGTATCAACTTCTTTTTTGCTCCAGCAGCTTGTAGCTCGTCGACAAAATCAAGCATCTCTTCATCATCTATACGTCGATTGGCAGGGTGGTTGTTATACTTGTCTGGTCCGAGGCCGTGGTTGTGCGTCGTGTTCTGCTGGGTTATCTTCACTTGAAAACCATGATCTCCTGACCACACCACTGTAACCGAGATCTGAGCCTCGCACCCCGTCGACTTGACAAAGTAGTTGAAGCGCTTGCCAGTAGACCGACTAGGCCGACTCCAGCCATGCGTGCAACAAAGTCGCCGGTAGTATTTGTCGAACGAATCAGGAATTCTTGTCGTCTCTGTCAGCTTGCCTCGCTTCGCTAATTTAGCATTCCTAGATGCAGCACTTGTAGAGGTACGCTTACGGAACACTTGGTGGGTCTGCTCTTGGTACTGCTCCAACGCCGAAAAAAATGCACCCCACGTTGTGTAACAGCGCTGCTCTAACGGGGGAGCACACGTAGACGTATTCCGCAATTCCGGGACGTGTATCTCCGGAGAGCGTGCCTCGGCAGGCTCACTCTCGCCGTCCGATCCCGAGCCAGTCGACGCGACGCTCGCCATTTTGTCGAATTTGGTCCTGTTTCGAAATGAACGGCGGGAAATCGTCGGGGGCGGGTGAAAGGGGGGAGAGGGGGTGACACGGAGGAGGGGGGAGCTGGAAGGAAGGGGTGTTTTTCTATTTTCCTGTTTGTCGGAATTTTTGTTTCTCGGGATTTTATTTTAAATTACCGGACTCGAAGTGGATCCCATTGTGTGACTTTATCCACTTCCTTTTTAAAATGACATTATTATAAAAGTGTCATGGCCAGACCACTACCCGTTCAAACTAACTGTAAAGACGCACCTTCATTTTTTCACATACAACGTAGTACTTCACAGAAACTATTTTAGCAAACAACGTTGTAATTACTGTATTAGCCCCAACTTCGGGTTAACAAACATCCCAACGTAGTATTTCTTTGATCGCACAGGTTAATCATTTACTTCGAGGCTCTATTAATAGTAGTACATAATTTGCTGTAATCTCACCGAGAAGTAATCGCAGTACACATCATAAATTAGTTCGGTTATCGACCTTTTCACGGGCATGTTCCAGAGGTTAGAAATAATAAAAAGTAACAAAATAACCATTGTTTTTTGTCTTCCAGTACTTTATTAATACTTTAAGAACGAACTTCTGCAATATTTAGTGGCTCACAAAAGATAAGTACATGTATAACACGGTAACAGCAAAATAATCCGGGATCTTGCAGCTGAAAAATAATTATTTCGAGAATTCATATGCTTAAGAAATCCGTCATTTCCGTGAGAGGCAGACTTATTAAATGTTAAGTAGCTAACAATTTGTAAGACAGAAAAATATTTTTTTCGTAGTAGCTCGCGTTTACCATTGAATACTGCCACCAACACCTTTCGATTCATATACACGTGAAAGTGGCATTGGTCAGCGTGTTACACTTGTCTGGAGGTACTGTAGATACCCTCCTACACACCCATGTAAAGCGATATTTTAATCGGAGTCATCAGATGAGCCAATCACAATCACGTCCCACGCGGGAGCAGCGGGTTGGGCAGATGCTTTGATGGCAAGTTTCGAGTTCTCTCGCCTAGCTTTCGCGGCTGCGACAGCAGAAGTAGCAGGACGTTGCACTGGTCTCTTAGACCTCGTCGGTCGTGAACTCTTCTCCTCTTCTTCGCTGTTCTCGTCATCATCGGAATCAGTTGAGATTTTCTCCTTTTCCTCCTTCTTTTCATCCATGCTCTTCTCTGTCTTCTCATCACTGGGACCGACACTTGAGCGTTTCTTAGTCGACTCGATCTCGTCGTGCTTAGTCTGCTCAGTCCAAACTGCTCGCACGCGCGAAGACTTATACGGATCCTCCAGTTGCATCAGCACCGTCTCCTTTGCGGCCATCAACTCCGCACGTTGCGTTTTGGTCTTGTCCGAGGCGGTCTCTCGGCTCGTGTCTGCTTGCTGTTGTTTCTCGATAATCTGCCGCAAACGCACTGACGGAACAAAGTGCGGATCTTCTTCTCGCATGCCACGAATATCCCGAATACGGCGCCTTGTCTCTCCTTCCAAGTTCCCAGCAGGTCGTGAATGATGTCTGTCGGCCGAGGGGCTCGCTCTCGCGTCGTCTTTGCTCAAGTCAACATATGCATCATTCTGATAGGTGCGGACCTTGCGAACCAAGTGGCGGCAACCGAGAGCGAGCGCCGTCACGTAGTTCTCCACCCAACTGGAGCTAGGGAAAGAGGTTGTCTTATTGGCCGAGCTGAACAACGGTAGTTTCCATACTGAAGCCAAATGATCATCGAGTCCGTAGCATTCAACGCCTTGTAGCAGCAGAATGTCGTGTCTTGGACTTCTCCACCATGCTGGATAATCTGTAGACGCCGACTGGGCCCTAACTACACGAGTAACCAAGTCGACGAGCTGAGCTGGAGGCAACACAAGGATCTGAGTCCGAAGCAGTCGAAACAGATCCACGCGATGCAATAAGCGTCGACACTGCGTCGTTGTGAGCAGCCAATAGCCACGTTTGCCGCCCAAAATCGAGTTCTCTTCGCTGAGCTCATTGTGGCCCCTTCCATCAGCTTCGGTACGAAGACGCTGACGACACACGCGCTCCAGATCTAGCGATTCAGCGAGGAGTTCCTCCAACGGATGGTGTCCGACTTCCAATTGACTGTCCTGCAGGAAATAACGCCACTTCTCGTTCCGTTCACGTTTGTCTCGACACGTACTGACGTCTGGAATACCGTACGAGAACACAAGCTTCGCAAACTGGTTGTGACGTACGCTGTGGAGCGAGGTGCTGGCGTAATTACGTGCTTGTTGCGCACGTTGCTGCTCGCGTAGACGCAGTAGTTGCTGTTGCTTTTCCTGTTGTCGCTGATACTTCGCAGAGCTAATAGTCAAAGCTGTAGCGATGGATGCCGCGATAGGCGGAGTTGCCTTTACAGCAGTCCACACGTGCAGCACAACCTTAAGACGTCGATTGAGATTTGCCAGGGAAGGCCACTCAGCAATCGGATATCGCTTCGCACGGTCTCCAAACAGGGTCGTCGAGTCCACCATCCGACTTGGAAGAGTTCGTCCCTTTAACCATCCATCGCGGTACACGTACAACACGAGCATAACGTCGTCGACTCGAGAAATCCACCACGGGGCCACTGGCTCCGCAGAATTGACAGGTGCTAGCGATTGGAGGATTCGCATTGCCTGCTTACGCTCAGTCTTGTCCTTGGCTGCAGCTGCGTCGGTCTTCTCCTTTGTGGCCGCTGCGTCATCCTTCGGTTGCGTTTTCTGTTCTGCCGACTGAGCGTCAGCAGTAGATTCATCATGCTTCTTCTCAACCTCGGATTTGTCGAAAGAAAATTTACTCTCGCTGTTCGGAGCACCAACACTAACACTCTTGTCGCTCTTTCCACCACTTGAAGTCGGTGAATCCGTAGTTTCGGTGCCTTCTTTGCCGCGAGTAGCATCCGATACAGTGGCTGCAGTACCAGTCTTCTCCGATGGGTCTTCCGACGTTGTAGATGCACTAGCAGTCGGTGTCTCTGCTGTCTCCTCTTTATTAACAGCATTTGTCGAAGTCTTTGACCCAGCAGGCTCTGATGAGACAACTTTCTCGCTCTTCACCTCAGCACTTTTAGCAGGAGCAGAGGACGTCTCCAGCTGATTCTGGTCCGCCGCCGTAGATCCTCCATCGTTCTCACTCGTGTCTTTGCTGTCTGTAGTCGCAGACCCTTCTTCATTCTTAGTCGAGTCCTTGTTGTCACTACTTCCAACTGCAGTTACCTGCTCAGAAGAAGCCGCTGCTGTCTCTTCGGGTTTCTCTTCGACCGGTGCGGCGTCTTTCTCCTCGACAACAATCACATCAGCACGTTCCGGAAGTATATCGGACTCAATCATACGATGAACCTCAGCTTTGTCTCCAACCTTTTGAAGATCTTTGAGCAAACTTACGAGTGGAGGCACTTGCACAAGTTTGAGCCGCACAAACTCGCTCAGCTTGGACATCGTGTCGATCTGTTGCAGCTTCGCACGGAACCCACGCGCTGCTCGACTCTTAAAGTCCGTAACCCACAGTCGTGGGGGCACAGCGACAGCCAGAAGATTCGCAATTCTCATATCCTTCAGCATCGGTGCAAGGAAATGGTAGCGACGGAGTGAGCTGTTCAGTTCGCTAGCATATCGCTCAATGGGAGACGCATTGGCCATTTGCTGCGGAGGCACCGACGTTGAGACGATGTACACTCGACTAGGCTCCAGATCCAGTCCAATACGCGCGAAAGCTGCCATCGCTGTCGTCACGCGCACCATGCCGGTGAGATAATCCTGAGCAAACTTGATCAACTCCTTGTCCGAATACGCTTGCAGAGCTGGCGCATGACGCTTCATGTCATCCCAGCGTCCGTATCCAAAAGATCCGAGAAGTTCAGCTATGCGCTCAGTGTGGTAGTGGATTGGTAGTGCCGGTGTCTTTGAACGCTTTCGCTTCCCATTGGTCGTAATATCAGACAAATCGTCATTTGCGAAAGCTACGTCACTCGAGTCGTCGTCGTCATCATCGTCCTCCGACATGACAAACTCTTCGTCCTTTTGGACACCAAGCTCCCGGAATAATTTCTTTTTCGTCGAGGCAGCTTCATCTCCGCTATCCATCATGAAGGCCTTGTCGTCATCAATCAGATACGACTTGACTTTACGACGGCAGCGTCTCTTTTGTAGGGGGGAAGGCTCCACTTTTTTCTGCTCTTCAACTCCATTCAGACCAATGACTTTCGTCCAAAAGTTTGGGTCGTCAACATCCACTTCCTCGTCAGGGTTAGTCGAGCTCACGAACGTCGCCTTAGAGAACGAAGACATGGCGTTCTTCTTCTCCTTCCCATCGACATCTCGCGTCGGATCGTGCACGATTGTAGTACTGCGACTGAGAATCTGATCGATACTTTCCTCCCCGAACTTCTTACTCGCTGCCTCAGCTTCGCTGTCTTGCTCCTTGAACATTTCGTAGGCGCCATGCTTGAGCAAGTTCTCAATCTCCTCCTTCGACATCCGATCGTTGGTCTTCGGCGTCTTCGCCGCCCCCTTTAGCTTCGCGACAGAATCGTCACTCTTGATTCCTCCCAGCACAGCTTGGTCCAGTCCAAGCTTCAGCGATGCCTTGTGGAACATGTGCAGCTCGTACGTTTTAGCAGTGAGCAAACGATAAATCTTGACACTTTTCTTCTGCCCAATACGATGACAACGCGCTTGAGCCTGAAGATCGTTCTGAGGGTTCCAGTCACTGTCGTAAATAATCACAGTATCCGCCGCAGTTAGGTTAATACCCACACCACCAGCACGCGTGCTCAGTAGCATGATGAACGAGTTACTGTCCTCCCGACAGAATCGGTCGATCGCTGACTGTCTCTCGTTGCCCGTAATGTTGCCGTCAATACGCTCGCAGTTGTAGCGACGCAACGCCAGATAGTCCTGAATGATGTCCAGCATGATCTTAAACTGCGAGAAGATCAGCACGCGATGGCCAGTCTCCTTAAGACGCGGCAGGAGTTTGTCCAGCAGAACCAGCTTGCCTGACGTGTCCACAAGACTCTCACTGATCTGACGTTGGATCTCTTCTTTCGACACATTCGCTTGCTTGGCCAATCGCTTGACCTCGCGCTCCTCCACACCTTTTACGAGGAAAGGATGGTTGCAGCACTTCCGGAGCTCCATCAGAACGTTCATCAAACTGGGGGTGTCGCCCTTTCTGCCGCCTCTCGACAGAAACTCCGTATTCTTCTCGTAGATCGCGCGGTAGTATTGCTTCTGGAGCACCGTGAGCTCCACTTCGATGATAGTTTCTTCCTTCGGAGCCAGCGACTTCTCCACATCCTCCTTCATCCGACGCAGCAAGTACGGCTTCAGTTCCGAATGCAAGCGCTCAACCTGTGCCGAGTCTGTCAGCTCCCCAAAGCTCTCAAGAAAGCTCTCCTTCGAAGCGAACTTCTTGGTATCCAGAAAGTTCAGGAGCACCCAAAGTTCCTCCACGTTGTTCTGCAGCGGCGTACCAGTCAGCAGCAGCATGTTCTCATACGTAAATCTAGTGTGCAGGATGTTCGACAGCTTGGAATTCCTGTTCTTGAGACGATGCGCCTCGTCCACAACCATCAGCTGCCAGTTGATCTGAGCTAACTTGTACAAATCCGTCGCCGAGGCCATCTCGTACGTGGTAATCAGCACGTCGAAGCGGTAACAGTTGCGCTTCGGTTGCGGGGCAGCTCTCTTCCCATTGTTGTCCTTCCGAGTGAGCTCATCGACACGCAGCAGCTCGTCCTCTGACATGAAAAACTCGTAATTCTGCAGCACTTCTCGCGCTGCCGCGGATCCATGATAAACGACGGCATTGAGATTGGTCCAGCTGTCGAACTCGCGCTGCCAATGGCCCAACGTTGAAAGTGGCGCCACGATAATGAACGGCTGCGGTGTACGCTCTACCACTGCGAGATGGTTAATGTACATCACTGTTTGCACAGTCTTACCAAGTCCCATTTCATCTGCGAGCATCGAGTTTCGTTTCTGGTACCAGTTAAACAGCATCCAGTTCACACCAGTGAGCTGATAATCACGCAGCTGAAAAGTTTGCTCTTTTCTGCACGGCGGCCGGGACTCTGCTGTGTAGCCGCGAAAGTTCTTGCGCTTACTCGGCGGCAAGTGTTTTGCCAGAGCAATCTTCTTAAAGCGCTTCGCAGCTCTGACGATACGATCGTTGTACTGCTCCACCGCTGCGTCATCGCCGACGTCATCTTCCCGCTCCCAAGAAATCTCATCATAAGGAAGAGCTTTCCACTTGACCAGGAAGTACTGGAAATTGCTCTCACCGTCCACAGTATCGTCTGGAGCAAAGTCATCAAGCGGCCTGTCTCTGATCTCCAGAATGCGATCGACGCTTCGAAACTCCGGGTTGAAGTACTCGTCTCCTTGCACGGCCTGAGAGTAGAACGCACGAAGCTCCTTCTCACGAAAGCGTTGGATCTTCCCCTTCGCGTTCTTGTCTGTCTCCAGTAACTCTTCCTCTGTTTGCCAGCTGGTGTGGAGATACGACAGCGTCTTCCACTTTACCAAGAAGCGCTCCTCGCCAGCATCTTCAGCTTCGTCGTCCTCGACACTCACCTTTGGCTCCGACGGTGCTACACTTGCAGAGTTTTCGCCTTCCTTCTGCTTTTGTGTCTCCTTTTTCTCCTCCTGCTTCTCCTTTCCCTCCTCCTCAGGTGGCAGGAAAATGGAGCAGTGAGTCAAGAAGCGCGTGTTCTTGTTCCAGCAGATTTTCTTCCACTCCTTCTGCGTGTGAGCTTCACGAGCCAGCACCTTGTCAATGATAAATCCGTCCACCTCCGGTGTCACCCTTTCGATGATCTCCACCTCGGTATCATCTCCGAAGTCTGACGAAGAGCGTTTTCTTTTTCCTTTCGCCTTGTCTTTGGCCTCCTTCTTCTTGGGTTTAACCTTGGACTTAGACTTCTCCTCTTCCTCGTCACTGCTCATTACAAAGTCGTCGTCCGACAAGTCGATCACAGACTGAACTGCTTTGCGCTTCCGTCCACTGCGTCGTCGATTGGGATCTTCTTCTGGCATTTTTTCATCCTCCGACGGAGTCTCCACCTGGTCCACATAATCTTCAGTAGCGTCTTCATCTGCTTCTGCCTCTTCTTCCTCCTCCTCTTGGTCTTCAATATCTTCAATATACTGTGTCGAAGAGAATGATTGCATCAACAAGTTAGTAAAATGTTATTATAAAGTGCTAAAAATAAGTAATAATCCCACTGTATGAAAAATAAATTACCTGGATCTGCTTGCTCGTCTCGCGCCGTCTTTTGGCTGGACGTGCCACATCGGGCGAGTCTGGGGAGTGCTCATCACACTGATCCACCGCCTTGTTGCGTCTGGTGCTCAGCTTGGGCCTCGGTTTAACGGTCGTATCTCCCACAGTCACCTCGCTCTCGGAGCTGGAGCTCGACAGTTCGATGGTCTCAACAGCCGCTTCCATGGCCCCCTGTGTAGACTGCAGATAGGAAATTGGGTTTAGCACAAGTGTAAGCGGCCCCGCTTAGCATATATAACGCTTATATGGGTAGATGGTCGTAAGGAAGACGGAAGAGCACACGCACCATGGTGATTGACTCCCCGCGCACTCAATGGGGATTGTATTTTGCTTCCAAGAGTGTTCTTTTGATAATATGATTGGTTAAAAAAAATATCTTGAAGGTCTAGGGCTAGTATTTTGCATATTTAGAGATTTCAGCAGTAGATTTAGCGAATTGGGAGAGAAATATTGACGCAGGCGACGTCGACATGGAAAAATGAGTGGCGTAGGGGACTTTGTATAATAAATTGTATGTGGACTATGTTCTCGGACGGTTTGAACTAACTGCAACATCTCATCGGTGGTGGTGAACTCTGCGGCCCAATGAGCTCTTGTCGTGTTTTGCTCTTCGAATATCAGTATGACAAGTTTTTGCTTGTTAGATATTCAATTACATAGGCACAACTTAAGTAAGAATTCCAGCACGTAATGTATTATTTATTCAGCAGCAATCCATTGCATGGTCTCTTCTTTCAGTTTATAAAGTTGAAGCTATCAATGCATCTTCTAAGGAAGCCGACATTTTTCTACCAAGAGTTTCAGACTTTTTGCATTGCGATTCAATCAGTGCCGAATACTGTACAGCATGTGTATGCAGGCTTCGGTGCATCGATTGTTTTGCGGTTTTCGCATCCATGCAAAACATACACGACCATAAAAAAAATGCAACCTTCGGTAGTGATTCTAGTAATAGGCGTCAAAATACCAGTTTCCATCTACAGAAGGTTGCTCTAAGGGCATATTATAACTTAATACTACGTAGTACACACTCTCGGATTTGTATGAAATGGGCCGATGAGCTTTGCTGCTTCAGCTCTTCCGCACACATTTCCGGTAACTGCCAATCAGTCTCTATCTGGTAGAGAATCCACGGTAACTCTCCCAAACCGACCCAATTTAAGGAATCTACATAAATCGTACTTAAATCGGAACAAAACCTAGCTCCGACTTGAAAGTCTGTCGGGTACCGCACTCTTGCATTGCACAATGCGTCTCCCCGCCAGCGCCGCGCTGGATCTGGACGACCACCCGAACCAAAGGAAGCACTCGGCATCCAACCCCGAAGAAATAGGCGAGGAACTTTACGTCGGGTGCGCGCTTCGCCTATTCTCACGCTGTCCCATCGGCCGCTATCAGTTTGGTTCGCTAACAGATTTTTCTGTTTCAATTCCTTGCTTTTTGTTTAGCGAGGACGGATTAATCTCTGTGTCGCCTGTGGATGCCAAGAGTCAAATCGATAAACTGAAGCAGCTACTGGATCGCCGTGAGAAAGTGCGTTACTGTTACTAAGTTTGAGGAAAAGCTTTTGAAGACTCTAATGTGTTTTTCTCATTGCATTTTTTGCAGGAACTTCGACAAGCGGCGGAGTATGGACTGGGTCTGCTGCAAGCCAATGACGAGATGCAGATGGAGGTAGCGACACTGAAAATCCAGCTGGAGACGGAGACCGAGGAGCTGTCGGTGGAGCGGGATATGTGGCAGCGTCGAACGGAGCACGCGCAGCAGGAAACAGCGCAATGGAAACGCAAATTTGCGCGTGTGGAAGAAGAGAAAACGGAGCTGGCGGAGGATTTCGAGCAGTTCGTTGACCGCTGCGAGTGTCGTGGCTTCGATACAGGGGTTGCTAATAGTGGGGGGAGATACTCGCATCACTTGGACACGATAGCGCAGTTACAAACAGAACTTCATGCTCTTCAAGCCATAGAGCGCTCGAATGAAGCGGAGTTGGCGTCATTAAGGCTGTGGAAACAGGTGGCGGAGCATCAGCAACAGGAAGCATTAGAGTGTGAAGCGCTCGCAGCACAGAGCGAAGTGTCGTACAGGGAAAAGATGGAGGCGGAGCGTGCGGCGACTCAACGTGCAATGAAAGAAGTGAAGCACGAAAATGATTCACAGCGGACAGCTGCTCAAAAGCACGAGGAGGAGATGAAATCGTTAAAGAAGCAGCTTCGTCTAGCAGAAGAGGCGAGAGACGATGCACAAGTGCACAGCAATGAATTACGTGAGACGCTGCTGTCGTCCGAGTCTCGATGTAAGCGTCTTCAGCGCGAACTGGAGCTACTGGAGCATGTTTCCTACTTCTCGCAAGCTATCGTCGACCAGGACGACGAAGAAAGCGATTCGGATGACGAGATCATTGAAGAAAAAGATCTTAAAACGGTTGTGTCTGCCAAACCGAGCATTGATACGAAGACTGACGACTGTGATGCAGAAGATCCGGCTATGCCGTCACCGTTAGGGATCAAACGAAGGCGGTCCTTCCTCGCGGCGAATGCTGTGCCGTATTCACCGTTCCCAAGGTCTGTCGTCGCTGAAGACGGCGAGCAGGTTACCGTGTCCAAGTCGGAGTTGGAGACTCACAAGAAACTCCACCACTATTTCCACTTAACGGCGTTAAGTATTATCAACGAAAACAATTTGCACGAACGCTGCTTCAGCTCATCAAGTCGCCTCACGATCGACATGTGGTACCGTGAGATCAGTGCAAAAGAAGTTCCGTTCCTCATGTGGCACTCGTGGCTCATCAACCGCATCAGTGAAGTAGCTGCGTCTGTACAAGACGAAGATAAAATGCCTCAGCCGCCGACGTCTTCCTCAAAGCACCCAAGTTTCGGCGGCGCTTTCCACGGGTTTTCACTGAGGAAAAAAAGCGATAGTGGCGAGAACGGCGCGAAGAACGCACTTCCGTCACCACCGACGGCGTCACCAGGGGCGTCGCCAGTGGCTCGTGTGCCGTTTACAGTGGCACGAGCATTCTTTCGTTTGCTGCGAAAGAGAACTCATGCAGGAGCAGACTCTTCACAAGTCAATGGGTCTCCGGTTAGTGGTTCTCCCGCTGGATAAGAGCAGTTTGGACATGTGCAGCCATGTTACTTACATGAGAACACAAAATGTAGCTTAGTTGTTTCATATTAAAGCCAATCCATCTTATAACCGTAGGACAACGTTGTACTACGTACCACGATGTACACATTTTTCTGCTCGATCCACGTGAATATTTAATACCATTCATTGCTTGTACTTGGCGCTGAATAAAGTACAGTGGAAGACGTGAAAGTAATGGACAAAGGCTGGAAGCTTCATAATGAAGCCACGAGCTGTACAATATTTCTCCTTTACGACAACCCCGTAAGAATTGAAACATTAAAACCTACTCCCAAAAAGACAGCGAGTTTAGCGAACTGCTCAGGCAGGTGGTTGAGTCTCTCAAGTCTGAAGTCCTCGCTGATATCCTTTAGCTTGACGATCGTCGCCACCAATAAAAAGTTACCCAGATGCCCCATCACGATCCCCGTTACCAGCACAAGACCGTAGAACGACACCATTATCAGCAAGAAGCCCTGGAAACACCACTGGAATCCTAACCTCAATGCCAACGATGTGTCCGACCGCCCCATACGTCGAGCAAACGGGGCGTCTCGAGCACTCTCCAAGACAAGAAAAGACCACGCGAAGAGCATCACGATGTACGCGTAGAGAACGACGGCCCATGGCACCTCTCCAACAAGGTACAATGCTGTACCGACCATCGCCATTGGCCCAACTGCCCAAGCTATCACAGCTTCCCTCAGCCCCACCATTGGCAACGAATCTTCACCACGTCGACAGTAAAGCAGCGCCGAAGTGGAGAGTACTACCATAAATCCCGTAATTTCAATACTCTTGTCACAAAGGACGTGCGTCAGTCCCAGTGTTGCCAACTGCAAGCCGTAAAACAGCAATGACCAGCGACGGACTTGAGTTAGCGACAGCAAGCTAAAGTAAGGGAAAAAATGTTAAGAAGTATGTGACTAAGCAATTGTGAATGTTATATCTGACTTGAGGATGATCTTGGCGTCGTTGGTCCCAGGATCTTTGGGTTGTAGTGCGCGTTGGAAGTTGCTGTAGACAGCGCTGAGGTTGCCAAGCAGCTGCGTCAGCACAGCGCACCCCAGGACGACGACCGCGTCCATTTGAAGTAAGGAGATGCCATGGGACTTGTAGAGGAGACTCACAGTCATAAGCACGGGGCATACGGAGGCGAAAAGTGTCTGGGGGCGCAAGGCACTGCGCACACTCTTCGCGTATTCCATTTTTTGGTTGCCGATATCCGAAATCGGATCTTCTAATTTAAGTAAGAAATATTAAAAGGAAAATGGCCCCTTGGGTAGTGCTGCAGTTTTTTAGATGGAGTTTAGTCCATTATTCAAATAATGTGGAATATGACATAACTAGCGAATATTTTAATGGACGCAAAATGGGTAATAGATTATTAAATAGATAGATGACTTCTACAGATTTATGTTTAAAAAAGTATCGGAAAATGAAAATTATCTAATAATGAATTTGCACCATTATTTAGCTTATTTATTTAGTAGGAAAAAAAAATTGCGCACAGTTTTGAAAATTCTCAAATATTTAACTAACATGACAGAGGAAACATCTACTAGTATTTTATTAATCAAAACGAGGAGTATGCTATTATTCAGCCGTTTTCAGTAATCCTTATAATAAACCTTTTGTTATGAGAAAGTGATGATAAAAAAATTAAAATTATATATTTAAAAAAATGAATGTATATTAATTATATTAAATAATACATAATGTTATTTTGCAATATATTAGGCGCACGCCGTTAGTCTGAAATAATGGTGCTTTTTCCTCTCTAAGAGCATTGCCACCGGTAGAGTAAAAAGATAGGGAAAAATGACCTCATTTTGTGTGCGACCAAACCTTTACATATTTTTGCTACAACTGATTTCGCACCGGTACTCAACTAAAGTTTAACGCTAATACGGAGCAGAAAACATACGGCTTGTTGCTTTCCAAGATGGACGAAGACGCCGGCCAGGATAGCTTCCTGGACGAATGGGACGAGAGTGAAGCAGAAGATGACGAAGCTGTTGCCTTATTCACGGGCCTAGAGAGCGTGACACAGCAGTGTTTCCAGAAGGCAACGCGTACACGAAGAGGGGGCTCATTACCAGGAAAAGCCCCCAACAAGCGTCAGGATTTTAGAGCTCGCTACGAGAGGATGGTCGAGCAGTATATTGGCCCAAATCCGATCTACAATGCAGATGATTTTAGACGCCGCTTTCGAATGAGCAAAACGTTGTTCGTGTGCATTTTGGATGGTGTTTTAACCACCGACTCCTATTTTGAGCAAAGATCTAGCGAGTTCAAGATCTTCCGCAGCGTCGTAATTACGACCACGAGGCGGCGGCATAACAAGAAACCAAAGTCCAACAGATCACGACAGGTAATGATACGATCTAATCTCCGCAGTGAGATCTTGTGCTCTCTGCTCTCATCGACACATTGACCGAAGCTTTTGATTGGTCTACAGGATGCCACTGTCCGACGCAGAGCGGGGATCCTGCACGAATATATGACTGCACGATGTCCCGAATTTGCGTCGTGGTTAGATTTTCTTCATGTTTGCTTCAACCGGTGCCAGACAATTTCAGCATTTGGAAGGCAAATTTTACTTTTACTTAACATTTGCCCCTACCGGTGGCAATGCTCTTATAGGTGCAGCTCCTTCTCTATTCGATAAAAGTTACTATAACCGGATTTCCTCTGTATTATTGTGCTTTACAGCGATTTTGACAAAACGAGATAAAATTTGCTGGATTTATAAGTAGCAGGGGATGGATTGACGATAATACGGGTTCTGATCCACGATATTTTACGGTTAAGTGGCCAGAATTGCACTTTTGGGACCGTATCTCGCGCCTGTAGCCTCATGGTCACATGGTTTACTTTTTTACGGGTGAATTTAGATAAATATATAGCTAAATATTAGTGTCATGAATCTTTTTTCACACACATTTACGATGTAATTTTTAGCTTATAAAAAAAATGTCGGCAAAATAACTGAAAAACACAATAGTATTATGCATATTACCGTATTTCGCATGTAGAGACCTGCACCCTCATATGAGATGCACCTAGATATTGACCAATCACATTCGGCTATCTTGAATTGAGGAAATCGCATGTAGAGAGATGCACCATTCCTAAGCCAACCAAGTCTTTGCGGCAAAATTTGCGCCGGCAGTCGGTCATTTGCCATGTCACGCACGAAGCCTCGCCCAGTGGGCAGACCTCGTGTCGGTGGTAAGGGACGCCACCAGACCAAACACACGGTCAAGGGCATCACGGTGCAGAAGAAGCTACAAATTCTGTCGTATTGGGAAATGCTCCTCTTCCTAAAATGCGTCATACAATTGATCAGTTTTGGCACGATCTAAATCCTGATTTTTACAACTCAAAGCGCACTATGATTCAGCGCTTGCGACGGGAGGAAACAAAGCTAAGGTCAGCATTGAAGAAGAATTAAGGTGGCTATCAAAAGGTAAGGAGCTTAGGCGTAGGAACGATTCTGAGTAAGGAGGTAGAATTAGAAATTGTGGAGTGGGTGAACTGCTTAAGGGAAGAGGGTGTACCAGTATCGCCTCGAATGCTAGCGATTCAAGCGCGTCAGACTGCCATGGAAGCTGGCATCAACGAATTTAGAGCTTTAGATAAGTGGATTAAGGGCTTTAGACTTCGACACCGCCTGAGTATGCGTGTACCTACTCGTCAAGGGCAAGTCAGGCCCTCGGATGCTGACAAGGTAAAAGTAGCATTTGCTATTGAAGTTGAGAAGAAGGCTCGTCAGCTGGGTATCAAGCGCATTTTTAATGCAGACCAAACAGGTTCGTTTTTATTTTTATTTTTACTTGATTTTATTAAAAACGCTTTAATTTAACTTTTTATTTAGCTGCTTTCTTTGAATATTTGTCTGTGAAGAGAGCTATCAGTAATGTCGGGGCCAAAACCGTTTGGCTGAAGTGTGCTGGA